TGATCTCGTAATTCTAGATGTTAATAATAAATAATATCGGAAAACGCACAAGTTATAATATTATTAATATTATAAATAAATATTTAATTATATATAAACATAATTTAATTACATATAATTATTATAAAACTACATAGATTAAAAGTGTCTTAGACAAAAAGTGAGATCTCTTTCTGATACCTATATCATTAGATTCGGATGCCTTGTTTTGTGCTAGCGCATCTTCTATCTTTGTTTTCTCACATTTCAAGTCTATCAAAATTTGCATAATATCATTTCGTGTTATGTTGTTCACTTGCCTGTGTGTAATTATTTCTTTTACTATTCCCGTAAAGTAGGCGGTAACCTTTATAAGAAAGATATGCAACAAATATAAATTATAAATTAAACAGATTTTTTCTTGCTATTACTTGTAATAATATTAATAAATTGATACATTACATCCTGAGATGCTAAGCTGATCGATGACCATTTGAATATTTTGGGCATGTAATCACGTATATATCTCGTAATCGCTATCTTGAACGATGGATCCATGATCTTTTTACACATTTTTTGAAATTCGGAATCATCATTTTGTATCGTGTTAGTTTTAAGCCCGAAGTAACAGCTTGCCATGATCTCGCTGCCAAACTTGGCAGCAAGATTGCGAAATTCGACAGGATCTTCATTGTCTGCATATTGGTCTACAAATTGCTAAACCAGACAGTTATTATTAGTTTAGTGCAAGATCTATAACTTAACAAATAGTGCATGAATGTATTGTCTAAGTATTCAGAGTTTGTTTGTAGAAACAATACATTAGAATAATTTATTTTGGGAATTTGTTGGAGAAATTTTATTTTGTGGATTTAATGAGTTTTGAACAAGGCTTGTATTTTGTAAATTTTATATCAAGATATAATTTTTAAATTAACTTATAATTACAAAATTTTTATGTAATGTTATTTAAAATTAATTTATATTTTAGTAAAATTTTACAATTAAAGAATATATGCTTGACTTCTTTGGATAATTTATTTAGTTTCTTATTTGGACAAAATAAGAAAAAAAATCTTTTGTTTTAAGATGGACGTTGTTTTTAGATGTCTGATGTTTTCTTTTGAGTATGTTGTGCATATTGTTTTTAATCATCTACTAAAGAAGTAAAATAAAATTTTTTTTGATATTTTTAATTGATAATTTACATTGTTATATTCTCTTTGTCAAATATGGCTTAATTTTGTTGCAGAATTTGCTTTGAATAATACAATATAGATTTATAAATAAAATTTTAAGTTTCTCTTTTTTTTTAAAGATTCAAATAAAGTACTATCACATATTGGCAATATAATATATTGATAAAACAAGTTCAAGTTTGAATTTATAACGTAACATATTCTTCTTTAAAAAATTAAATTTTGAATAGGAATAATATGACGGATGTGTAATAATACGATGATATGTTTAATCGTTATTTTTTATGTATTTATTATATTTTTTTGTTATTAATTATATTTAACATTTTTTTAAGGAACTCTGATACTTGTGTAAAACAGATATTTTGCCAATAGAAAATAATGTATAAGAAATGGCATATGAGATACCTTAAACTGTTCTGACACTTCTGTGATCAATTTAAATACGTGCCGAGTTTTGCTGATTGTAAAGGCCGATGTGAGATTCGTGCGCAATATTTGCCATCGTGGTCCGTCGAGATTAATTAAATGTGCGCTAAGCGGATCAGTGTGTTCGTTTATCACTATGCCACGATCTAAATAGAAATATGAATAAATAATGGCAATCACTAACAAGTGTATTTGTGTTTATTGGAATACACAATCACGCAACAGAAATCACATTAAAATTTCATTATTCATCGCTTAAAAATTTAAGGCTACTTGTATTTGATCGTAATTATAAAAGTAGAAAAGAAGTAATTATATAAAAATAAATGCAGAGAGAATTAATTTCGGGAAATTAATTAGACTGCAATGACAAAAATCTAAATATAGCTAATGGAACAGTTTGAATAAAAATACTTTTATATTAAAAAAAGAGTTTAACAAGTCAATAAACTTAAGAGGAGAGAGTTTTGTGTTCACTTACTTTGAAAGCAGGCAAAGTCTTTCACGAGGATACATTTAATTAGTTTTGGATCTCTCAACAAGAGGACCGGGGTTGCGAGCTCGTATATACCGACGAACGGATATCCTTCGTATTTTCTGTATATCGTCTGAAGACTTTCACCGATTGTAATCTTCAGTATTGATGCATTTCGATTATTCCCGAAAAACGAAAATTTAGGACAAGGAACGTTTTTTCTTAACCAGTAGGTATGAAGTCTTGTCCAATAGTAATACATTAATAAGATGCACGATGAGACAAGCAGTAATAATGGAACCATTTTTGACACATATACAATAACAGATTAATATCGTAAAATATTTATCATTAATTTTCTGAAATGTATAGAAATTATTAGAGTTATTTTACATGTAACTACTTAATAAAAGTTAAATGGAAAGAAAGTTTTATTTTATAAATAAATATAATATATTGCACATATATTTTATATCAAATATTGAATAACTTATCAAAATCCTGTATATGTTTTATATCAGATTTATTAATAAACAAATATATTAAAAATGCTTTCAAACTTATAAAGAGAATAATTGAACATTGATAGACTTTGGTTATATTTATTTTTCCACGTGCGTGAATAAGTTTTGAATTATAGATATATTACTTGCCCTATCTTTTCGAGAGATATTTCGAGATCTGAAAGATGCACGAACAACTGTAAACTACATGCAGAAAAAATACAATATTATATACTCTTTCATAATCAATATACATCAGTCTGATTTTTCGATCAAGGTCTTTCCATATGTGAAGTTACTTCTAAATCAAATAAGATAAAGATATCCTTCTTTTTTTTTCTTCTTATCACTATTGATATTTTTTGTTTGCATTGATACTCGCAGTGTTGTATATGGAAATAAATAACATATAATCAATCACTTTAATATTGATATATACGTAAGTTGATTGATAAATAATGTCCCCATTTCTATAAAAATGTTAGGATAAAATAAAATAATAAAACTGACATCAAAATAAAGTAAATTTATTCAGCTTTAAAGTTAATATTTATTATTCAACGTAATCACCATTAAATGTGACATATTTTTTTAAACTCTTTATCCCTTTTCTCATCCCGTCGTTGAAAAAACTTTCGTAAGATTTATTTTTAATCCCCACTTGTACACAGCAACTTGAATTTCGGTATCCGACATAAAATATCGACCTGTCAACTCCTCCTTGAGCTTTGGAACAACTATGAGTTCGATGGTGCTAAATCCGAACTTGTACGGTGGGTGTAAAATAATCGTAAAATTTTTTATAATAATTTATGACCACTTATGAAACGGAGAATTATCTTACGTAGATTAATGGCCATCTGCTGATAACTAGGCGACTATTGATCTTACAGATGGTTACTAAAGCGACTGAATTTTGTAGCTGGAAATGTTTCGCGATTTGTTCGATACGCGGTGAATTTTGCGAATATACATTATACTATTTAATCATTGGAATTTTCATCCTAGTACAACTCTTGCCGCGAATGAAAGGCGCAAGTTATGATTCTTATTAACGTTATAAATAAATATTAATTATATGTATATAAAACTGCAATATTTGTATCATATATCTCACTTTCTCTCTTTTTTTGTTTACTTATAATAATGTTAATAAATTGATACGTTACATTTGGAGATATTAACTACAATAAAAAATTGCAAATTTCTATATAAAACAGAATAAGAGTATCATAGACAAGAAATGAGTGTAATAATACGATTACGTTTGATCGTTATGTTTCTAAATTATTAACTATTTTATATTTATTGTTTTATATTTTACTATAGAATATATTTTATATTTTTCAAAGAAACTTGTAAAACAGAAACGTTTTCTCTCTCTCTCTCTCTCTTTCTTTCTCTACTAGAAATTGTATGTCAAGAGAGAAGAATGTATGAGAAATAGCATGTGAGATACTTTAAATTTTCTGATTAATTCAAATATGTGTCGGATTTCATGTCGGTCAGTGTGAGTTTCGTGCGCAATTTTCGCCACCGTTGTCCGTTGATATTCAGTAAATTCACGGTAAGCGGATCAGTGTGTTCGCTTACCACTACACGCCATGGCCTAAATAGGACTATGAATAAATAATTGCAATCACCAAGTGTAATTGTGTTCATTCGAATACAATCATCTCTACGAAAATCGCATTAAACTTTTATTATTTGTCGCTTAAAGAATTAAGATTATATTTACTACTACATTTGATTGGAATTATAACAACGGAAGAAAATCAGTAATAAAATTTTGAACGCAAGTTTTCATCAAGGTTTTTTTGTAGATCCTTTTTTTAATATGATATTTGAAATCTTGTTTTTCCGTATTCGTAGATGACAATTAAATTTTATTTTGTTATAAATTCCATTATTGTATGTTCTACATTTTAATGTGCTCCATATCAGAAAAATATAAACTGATTTATTATCATTTGCAAATAAATTTAAAATTCAGAAATAATTGCAAACTCTTAAAACATTCTTCGGTGACATTTACTATCACCTTACCGTGAAGTTATTGAAATTTGGAGCATCAGAGCCATTATGGCACAAAATTCTCTTTTAACTACATGTTGTCTCCTAAAATCTAAAAATTATGAAATAATAAAGCTTACTGTTTCGCGCGGGTACAAAATGTAAAATTGAGCCGCAGACACATGCAAAATTACATGTGAAAATTCATGCTATAAATTTTCTTATATCTTGCGTAATAAGAAATTCGTATCAACCGGTTTCGGTAGATTCGACGCAGTCGCAGCTGCGACGTGGAAGAGGCTGCTTCTGCCGCCGCCACGGTGGCGGTCGACTGCCTCGAAAACTTGATGCTAAATAAAACTCCTAGCTGTTTGGGCCGATGCCATGCGCTCTAATTTTCCCGAAGGCACGGCCGGCTGTGGACGTGGTGGCCCGGGATCTCGCCACGTCGGAGGGCGATCAGCGCGACAAGATCGTCGATAATTTGTGGCTAATACTTCTTTCGCGAAAGGGAAAGCGGTGGATCAGAAGAAGAGACGCGAGACATTAAACGGGCTCTTTGAAGGCAAGTCGCTGCTGCACGTCAACCGACAGCTAACGTCGTCGTCGTTATCGTCGTCATCGTTGTAGGTCGAGCCTCGCGCACGGCGTCCAATCTTCGCCATTTCCATGCGAAGGTCGCCTTGTCATGGCTATCGCCCTTCCGGGCAAGTTCATCGCGTTGCTGGGTCTCATCGTGTTACTCTACGCCACCTGCTACGGCTTCCGAATACGCGATGTCGCGCCGCAAACGCCGCACTCGGTCGTCTGTGTCCCCACGCACGACAGAGTCTGTCCGGACAAAACGACAACAATCGGGAAACCAGTGCACTTGGCTCGGAAATGGCACGAGGACACAACGTCGCGAACTACTGCTGGTGACCGGAAACCACCTGTCGAGTCGACGTCAGGTGTTGGAACGGAGAAGATTCGGACCACGGAACGTCCGAGAGACAAGGATGCGATCAGACTTACACAGAAAAACTTCAAGACAGAAAGTGTCTGGGTTGATGACGATGGAGATGCGGTAGTGGAAGTGGAAGAGGAAACGGAGGAGGATGAAGGATCGGTGGAGGATTTCGAGAGAGATCGGACGGATAGGATAGATGAGGACGATGAAGAGGAAGAAAAAGCATTCGAGACTGAGCTACCAAATCGAGATACTGAAAGTAAGGAAGAGAAATTGAAAAAAACTATTGTTCGCGAAGACGATGATAATGAAAGTGAAGACGATGATGATGACGATATCGACGTAGATGATGATGATGATGATAACAAAAAGATTCTTAAGAAAAATTTAAAAATACGAGTAGAAGAAACTAAAACAGTTAAAACTAAGTCGATAAAATATAGCAAAAGCAAAGTTGATAATGATGAGGAGGAAGATGATGATGAAGAAGAAGAGAGAGCAATAACCAAGGCAGATCGGCGAAAAGTCATAGAACCACTTAAGAAACAAGTTGATGTATCAAATAAAAAACAGAACAAAATTCAGATTCTGCAAAGTGACGAGAATAAAGATGACGAAGATGAAGATAGAAGTAAAAAAGATGATATAAGAGAAACCGTTCCATCACCTAGAAAGTTGGAAAAAGTAAGGCTCGCCGATAAAGACAAAACTAACATTTTACTTAGTAAACGCGATACGAAAAAGTCAAAACATGAAGATAAAACACCAATTAATGTCACAAAGTCGGCAGTTGAGAGCGTAAAAAAGACAACCGAAAGCACGAAGAAACTTGAATCAATCGAAAGCACGAAGAAACCTGTCGAGAGCGCGAAGAAATCAATCGAGGTTATGCAGAAATCAGTTGAAGGTGCCGGAAAATTACCTGAAAGTAAAAAAAAAGTTGAATCGGTTAAGGCTACTCCTGAGCCTAAGGCCGAAATGTCTAAAACTGCAACAAAAGTAGCAGACGAAAGATCGAAAACGCGCGAAAAACCAGAAACTTCAACACCTGCACCAAGGATCAAGGAGCAGGCGAAACAACCGGAAAAGGCGGATGTCAAAAAAGTAACAGCAAAAGCAACTTCGAAGCCATCGAGAGAAGTTTCGCAAGTGGAGAGTGAGTATTATATGAAAATGGTTCAATATGAAAAGCGCGTATTTGTCTAAAGATGTTTATAGCGTTTTCAAATGAATAAGCGCCAATGTGGTAGTATCTTAAGTAATAATCTAACTAAAGTAATATCCAACGAAGCTGTGTAATGCTTTTATTCTTCGCTGAATTTTCTTCCGCTTATACAAATTTTTGTATGTTTATTTTTGAATAATTAGTTGAAAAAATTTTTCAACTTCTTCCACGCGCAAATAGTTTTTTTTTATAAATAATACATGGTGGTGGCACAAATACATTATATAAGTATGCTTTTAAAAGCTTATTTTTTTTGATTGAAAACAGGCAGGATCGCGCCTCAAATTTTTAAAGTGTGATTTGTTGCGGGAATTTTTGTAATTAATTGTTACTTTTAGAGCAAGAAACAAAGCCAACAACGAGGAAACGTGCAGACGCATCTGTCACATTGTCCGAACTAAATGATGCAATTCTGCGTGTGCCGAACTTCGTGCCAAATTTTACGAACGTTGAAAATCCCGAGTGTCAGCAACACGGCAAGATATTCCTGCGACAATTGAGAGGTTACAAGTTGTGGGCGCTGCAAAGTGAGTCGATTGACAGAAATAACTGTTCATTCTATTTTCGAATTGACGAGCCAAAGTCATTATGATCACTTTAGCTAGAAGGTATTCAATATTTAATTCAATAATTTTCTTTCGAGAGAAATATGTATATTATTAAAACTCTTTTTAGTCAAAGATCCCAATTATATTTATTCTATATTTGTATGGATTAAATGTTCTTGTCTATAAACAAATTGCATTTTATCGGATCAAAAAAAGCTTTCTTGCTTCCAGTGTTGGATTCGAGCGCAAAAATTCCGTCGGGCTTGTTACGAGGAAACGTGAATCAGTTTGGGGATTACGATCAATGCTTGGGTGTGTTGGCATATGTTAAAGTAGATGAGAGAACGATAAGAATTCAAGGGAAATATTGCTTGGCTACTGTGGACTTGCACGCTTCCCATCCAGACATGAGGTTGCCGGTCAATCTAATGCAGGGGCGCGCTTTTATACGAGCAAGCATGCGCGACGTAAGAGATTTTGCTCCCAAGTTGAAATAAGGGAAATAAGCTATGAAAGATTACACATTATCTGTATTTTCTTTTGCAAAACGCGCAGATAGATTAAAAAAATAAAGAATAATGTTCTAATATATATAATAATAATACTATAAAATATATAATATGAATTTATTTTATAAACTTCTAAAATTAGAGAAGTTTGCTTTCGAATTTATTTTTTTAAAATTTCGTTAAAATAATCAGATACATATGACATTTAATTCAAGCGCAATTTGTTCTTTTAAGTTAGAAACTTTTCAGCCTAATTCATTAAATGTTGCAGCCAGGTTATTTCATTCCGAAATTTACTACAATCAATTGGGCACTGTGTCTACCTGCGGCGTGTTCCGCTAAGGACGCCGAACGTGCGTTAGAAAGTGCCTTAGAGGATTACAATGGAACTGTTGGAATTAGATTTACGGTAGACGTCGATCCTGATATGTGTTATGTGAAACAAAAGTCTCAAACTTATTCGAAAGAGACGATCGGCGTCCTGTACGTTTCTTTTCATTGTAATTTAAAGAAGCAGTAATATCAATAAAATATATGTTGCTATTTTTTATTTTATATAGGTATTTTTACGCAATGATCGTTTGTATCGTTATTGTGGCAACTGTGAGAGATTATTTCGTGGAAACGCAAGGAAAAGGTAAATAGTTTCGACAAATTGCGAGAATCATGTTTACGAGCAGCATTTCGACCCAGCAGCGCGATTATACATAATACACGTATCTCTTTTGCAGGAAATTATTCTGAGAGAATAATAATGTCATTTTCCTTACGGAGGACGATTAAAGCCTTATTGAAGGAGACGACAAGCGGTGAGGATATTACCTGTATTCACGGAATAAGAGCCCTGGCTACGATCGCTCTTTACGTTGCTCACCAGCTTATAACAATCTCCCGAATACCGTTTAGTAACCGTACTTCTCTTACCGAGGTAAGATCGTCGAGGGGAAAGTCGCCCCGTCTTTGCATTATCATGTACCGACATCAAATCAATGTTAAATGATGTTTTAAACGTCAGATTGCCAACAACCCGGCCAGCTCTATCTTGCGAGTATCATTGGTTTACACGGATGCGTTTCTATTGCTAAGCGGCATTCTGACCGCTTACAATATGGCAAGGGAGCTAAAGATTCGCGGCGAGATTCGCTGGTTTTGCCGTTTCATCACCAGATTTATCAGGCACGTTGCAATCTGTCTACATGAACTAAAGAGATATTATTTTCTGCTTATATTAAAAAACGTGTCGCAATTATTTTATATCATTGACTTTTGCAGACTTTCACCGGCATTGCTCGCGGTGGTGTTTTGGTACGCGTTTGTTATGGAACACATGGGCTCGGGTCCGCAATGGAACAGCGTCATCACGGCGAACGCGGAGCTTTGCAACAAATCGAGATACTGAAAGTAAGGAAGAGAAATTGAAAAAAACTATTGTTCGCGAAGACGATGATAATGAAAGTGAAGACGATGATGATGACGATATCGACGTAGATGATGATGATGATGATAACAAAAAGATTCTTAAGAAAAATTTAAAAATACGAGTAGAAGAAACTAAAACAGTTAAAACTAAGTCGATAAAATATAGCAAAAGCAAAGTTGATAATGATGAGGAGGAAGATGATGATGAAGAAGAAGAGAGAGCAATAACCAAGGCAGATCGGCGAAAAGTCATAGAACCACTTAAGAAACAAGTTGATGTATCAAATAAAAAACAGAACAAAATTCAGATTCTGCAAAGTGACGAGAATAAAGATGACGAAGATGAAGATAGAAGTAAAAAAGATGATATAAGAGAAACCGTTCCATCACCTAGAAAGTTGGAAAAAGTAAGGCTCGCCGATAAAGACAAAACTAACATTTTACTTAGTAAACGCGATACGAAAAAGTCAAAACATGAAGATAAAACACCAATTAATGTCACAAAGTCGGCAGTTGAGAGCGTAAAAAAGACAACCGAAAGCACGAAGAAACTTGAATCAATCGAAAGCACGAAGAAACCTGTCGAGAGCGCGAAGAAATCAATCGAGGTTATGCAGAAATCAGTTGAAGGTGCCGGAAAATTACCTGAAAGTAAAAAAAAAGTTGAATCGGTTAAGGCTACTCCTGAGCCTAAGGCCGAAATGTCTAAAACTGCAACAAAAGTAGCAGACGAAAGATCGAAAACGCGCGAAAAACCAGAAACTTCAACACCTGCACCAAGGATCAAGGAGCAGGCGAAACAACCGGAAAAGGCGGATGTCAAAAAAGTAACAGCAAAAGCAACTTCGAAGCCATCGAGAGAAGTTTCGCAAGTGGAGAGTGAGTATTATATGAAAATGGTTCAATATGAAAAGCGCGTATTTGTCTAAAGATGTTTATAGCGTTTTCAAATGAATAAGCGCCAATGTGGTAGTATCTTAAGTAATAATCTAACTAAAGTAATATCCAACGAAGCTGTGTAATGCTTTTATTCTTCGCTGAATTTTCTTCCGCTTATACAAATTTTTGTATGTTTATTTTTGAATAATTAGTTGAAAAAATTTTTCAACTTCTTCCACGCGCAAATAGTTTTTTTTTATAAATAATACATGGTGGTGGCACAAATACATTATATAAGTATGCTTTTAAAAGCTTATTTTTTTTGATTGAAAACAGGCAGGATCGCGCCTCAAATTTTTAAAGTGTGATTTGTTGCGGGAATTTTTGTAATTAATTGTTACTTTTAGAGCAAGAAACAAAGCCAACAACGAGGAAACGTGCAGACGCATCTGTCACATTGTCCGAACTAAATGATGCAATTCTGCGTGTGCCGAACTTCGTGCCAAATTTTACGAACGTTGAAAATCCCGAGTGTCAGCAACACGGCAAGATATTCCTGCGACAATTGAGAGGTTACAAGTTGTGGGCGCTGCAAAGTGAGTCGATTGACAGAAATAACTGTTCATTCTATTTTCGAATTGACGAGCCAAAGTCATTATGATCACTTTAGCTAGAAGGTATTCAATATTTAATTCAATAATTTTCTTTCGAGAGAAATATGTATATTATTAAAACTCTTTTTAGTCAAAGATCCCAATTATATTTATTCTATATTTGTATGGATTAAATGTTCTTGTCTATAAACAAATTGCATTTTATCGGATCAAAAAAAGCTTTCTTGCTTCCAGTGTTGGATTCGAGCGCAAAAATTCCGTCGGGCTTGTTACGAGGAAACGTGAATCAGTTTGGGGATTACGATCAATGCTTGGGTGTGTTGGCATATGTTAAAGTAGATGAGAGAACGATAAGAATTCAAGGGAAATATTGCTTGGCTACTGTGGACTTGCACGCTTCCCATCCAGACATGAGGTTGCCGGTCAATCTAATGCAGGGGCGCGCTTTTATACGAGCAAGCATGCGCGACGTAAGAGATTTTGCTCCCAAGTTGAAATAAGGGAAATAAGCTATGAAAGATTACACATTATCTGTATTTTCTTTTGCAAAACGCGCAGATAGATTAAAAAAATAAAGAATAATGTTCTAATATATATAATAATAATACTATAAAATATATAATATGAATTTATTTTATAAACTTCTAAAATTAGAGAAGTTTGCTTTCGAATTTATTTTTTTAAAATTTCGTTAAAATAATCAGATACATATGACATTTAATTCAAGCGCAATTTGTTCTTTTAAGTTAGAAACTTTTCAGCCTAATTCATTAAATGTTGCAGCCAGGTTATTTCATTCCGAAATTTACTACAATCAATTGGGCACTGTGTCTACCTGCGGCGTGTTCCGCTAAGGACGCCGAACGTGCGTTAGAAAGTGCCTTAGAGGATTACAATGGAACTGTTGGAATTAGATTTACGGTAGACGTCGATCCTGATATGTGTTATGTGAAACAAAAGTCTCAAACTTATTCGAAAGAGACGATCGGCGTCCTGTACGTTTCTTTTCATTGTAATTTAAAGAAGCAGTAATATCAATAAAATATATGTTGCTATTTTTTATTTTATATAGGTATTTTTACGCAATGATCGTTTGTATCGTTATTGTGGCAACTGTGAGAGATTATTTCGTGGAAACGCAAGGAAAAGGTAAATAGTTTCGACAAATTGCGAGAATCATGTTTACGAGCAGCATTTCGACCCAGCAGCGCGATTATACATAATACACGTATCTCTTTTGCAGGAAATTATTCTGAGAGAATAATAATGTCATTTTCCTTACGGAGGACGATTAAAGCCTTATTGAAGGAGACGACAAGCGGTGAGGATATTACCTGTATTCACGGAATAAGAGCCCTGGCTACGATCGCTCTTTACGTTGCTCACCAGCTTATAACAATCTCCCGAATACCGTTTAGTAACCGTACTTCTCTTACCGAGGTAAGATCGTCGAGGGGAAAGTCGCCCCGTCTTTGCATTATCATGTACCGACATCAAATCAATGTTAAATGATGTTTTAAACGTCAGATTGCCAACAACCCGGCCAGCTCTATCTTGCGAGTATCATTGGTTTACACGGATGCGTTTCTATTGCTAAGCGGCATTCTGACCGCTTACAATATGGCAAGGGAGCTAAAGATTCGCGGCGAGATTCGCTGGTTTTGCCGTTTCATCACCAGATTTATCAGGCACGTTGCAATCTGTCTACATGAACTAAAGAGATATTATTTTCTGCTCATATTAAAAAACGTGTCGCAATTATTTTATATCATTGACTTTTGCAGACTTTCACCGGCATTGCTCGCGGTGGTGTTTTGGTACGCGTTTGTTATGGAACACATGGGCTCGGGTCCGCAATGGAACAGCGTCATCACGGCGAACGCGGAGCTTTGCAAACACAACGCCTGGACGAATCTGTTATACGTACAGAACTTCTTTCCATTCGAGGAGATGGTGAGTTGTACGAGAGGAGACAGATGGTGAACTCAAATCCGTTGATGGAACGTATCTTTCGCAGTGCGCCACGCACACGCATCAGTTGGCCCTGGATATGCAGCTGTCGCTCCTGGCGCCCATCTTAGTCTTCTTCCTGCAGTACAAGCCTCTCGTCGGTATCCTCCTGATAATCTTCGTTGTTCTGTTGTCCGCCACTCTACGTTACATAGCGACAACGAACAATTATCTTTCTCTCGTTATCTTTCACGGGATATCGTGAGTATACACTTTTGAATATCCTGGCATCGTATATTTTGATAAAATGTACTCTCGATCGCAGGTTAAAGCGTCTGTACAAGACCGCTAATCTCACTTATGCGTTGCCGCTGCACAGAGCGACGCCATACGTTTTCGGCGTAGGCCTTGGCGTGCTGTTACATTATACCGGCAAGAATGTCAAAATTCACAAGGTATTACTCTTTCGTGGAGCGCTTCATAATCGTGCGTGACCGCGTGACAGCATTCTAATTTGCAGGTGTTGGTGATCTTGGGTTGGTCGATTGCAATGCTTCTGGGTTCATGGTCATTATTTTCACCCTGGCATCAGGCCAGACGAGATTACGTGTACAATGTCGAAGAGGCCGCTCACTATGCAGTAATCGGGCCAGTGTTATGGGCCGCGGCTCTATGCTGGTCAATATTTGCCTGCTTCACGGAACACGGAGGTCTGTTGTAACAAACGGTTGATTATAAACCGGTATCGGACGGTGATGTAAATGTGATGGAACATTGATGGAATGATTGCTCGCTCCGTAGGCCTCGTCAATAGTTTCCTTTCCAATTATTGGCTGGTGATCTTTAGCAGATTATCGTATGCCATATACCTAACGCAGTTTGCGGTGTTTTTCTACAATGTCGGGACCACGAGATTTTCCTCGGAATTTCAACTTCACAGAGCAGTAAGTCGCGCTGGCAAAGCAAAGAAGCTTTGTTTTATTAATTGTAATTTTTTATCACACATTTATAGCTCTAAATGTGTCTCTCTGATTATTATCTTTTATTAATACTCTATTAGAGCTTTTGTACACTGATGTCAACTTCAGAATCGAACAGTCACGTTCAAAGTCGCTTGATGTGCGATAGAAATATAAACGGGTACATTACTTTTACATTTACAGATTGATCCTCTGGAATTAGTGATAGTGATAGCTGCGTCAGTCGTTCTGACGTTACTCTTTGATCTTCCGATGCAGGAGGTGAAGAGTGTCATAATGGAAAGCACAGACATGTCGACGCTTGAAGCTTCCAAGGAAGAAAAAACGAGCGAGGATAAAAACTTCACCGAGCTAGAAACCGCGAAAGCAACAGTCGAGCAAGGAAACGTCTTCGAGGATGATGAGATTGCGTCCACCGGTTGGGATTGGCAGAAGGATATAGCACGCGGTACGGCTGTGCTCGAAGAACACGACACAGAGGAAGAAACGGTAGACGTACCGATATTGAAGAAAGTGAACGGAAGGCGAATGTCATTTATCGATCACGAAACGCGTGATTCCGAGGAGGTATCGAGCAGAGATCGAGCTAAAATACCAGCTAGAAAACTATCCAGAGACACGGAAGATTACACAGAGCGTAGCAAGAAAGGCGTAAATAGTCAGAGATACATGACGGATGATTCCGAAGAAGAAGCTATTGAATTTCTGAGAAGTCAGCGAGACCACGAAATTGCTCAACGCAACAGACGTTCGCTATCGAGAACTAAAAATAACAAGAGACTAACATCGAGAAAGAGCGAAAGTGAGGAAGAACGGCAATTCGGGAGATCCGAGTCTAGAGGAAGGACGTCAACAAAGGAAGCGGACGATTATCGTTCTTGGGAATTCGTCGGAAAGGAGGATTCCTCTGTGAAAGAGCAATATGAAACGATACCGCAACAAACAAAAGCACCTTTCGCAAGATCGGCGGATGTTGCGAGAAGAATGTTGTCTTCCGAGAGCCAGGAGGAGTCATCGATTCGAGGAGAAACGCAATCGGAACGCGTTCCAAGTTTCGAGACGAAGACGAGCGACGAGGAAGACTGGGAACACGAGTTGAGAGTACGAAGGAAGCAGTTTATGGAACAGTTAATCACCCGGCAACGCGAATCGCTGTCCGAGGAGAGGAGCGAGACCGGCGCGGAACCCTTAAAACGTAGATCTTCCTCGGAAGGCAAGATAGCTCTGCTGAGGGACGATCTCTCCGGCGAGGATAATATGGACTCGTGGACTGTCAGTGTTGGAGCGCAGATTGAGCAGCTTGGATCCTCTCAGGAACCGAGCGAGCCTGAAGACGACGGTATTTACATACGACGAAGGGAATACCGCGAGCAAGGTCCACCCTCGCGAGAAGAAAGCCTGAGCAAGGAGGAAAGCAGTCAAGACACTTCGAGAAAGCAATCGTACACCAGCGGTAGCCAGAAGACATCCTTGGAAGAAGAAGATGATATTAATAGCTACAATTTTGTGCTGACTAAGGGAAGCAAGAGAGAATCCGTGCAAGATCTGTCGAAATTGTCGCAGGAAGAATTGACGAGCGCCGGATGGAACGTTGTGAAGAAAGAGGACGATCTTTTAGTAAAGCCGACGTCGACTGGATTATTCAAGCGGGAATCCATCGTGAAGAGTCAGGCCAGCGAGGAGGATCCCGAATATCTCCTGCCGGAAAGGCCCAAGCTTGTCCAGCAGGAACGGGAACATCCTTTCAAGAAGGCCTGGCAGATGCAAAAGTCCCGATCGGAGGAGGAGGGCTCCTCGGCGTATATTATAAAGGATTCCAAGGAGCAGCTATCCGAGACGAAACAGACGACAAAGGAGGCGTCGATCAAACGCGAGCGCAGCGGCGAACAATCCGAGGATACCGAGTCATTCGCCGACGAGGAAGCTGCCGTGTCGCTGCGTGGCAGGAGTACCGACACGGAGGATAACAGAACCAGCTCGAAATCCGGCACGGACGAGATGGATTCCGTCTCGACGGAATACAGCAAAGATCCCCGCGACGGAAATCATAGACAGAGCTCGAAATCTGAGACCGATGAAGATTCGGGAAAATTTAACTGGACTGGCGAGGAGGAAGAGGAGGAGGAAGACGAGATTTACAGGACTGACTGGAAGAGAAAGTCAGAAGAAGCGGATTGGGATTGGGAACGGGAGGAAACCTGACGAAAATCATTTTAGACAATTGCGTATGAAAGTGATCGTACTTCACCTTCAAGTTTGGTCGAAGGCAAAGATGGAGAGGGAGAGCGAAATGGTTGGATCGTAGCATTCGGAGCAACGGAGTGTGCAGTTTTGCGTGAGAAGAAAGTTACGAGGACGAAAAAATCGATCGAGATTTATATATTATAATCCGTATAAGTTAATAAATTATAAAGAAAATATTTTGCGTGGGCGCACGTATCTCTTCTTCATATTGTTCTGATAAGTATTTTGTTTCTTATATACATTGTATGTTTGTTATATACGGAGCGTTTTCTGGATATAAAATTATGAGTTATCCCTTTTTCTTCCGGTTCTAAATCGAGCAAGTTTCAAGTCTCGTATTTTAACTTCGCCAGAAGTTAAAATACAAAAAAACGACTTTGTAAAATGTCGCTTTCACGATTATTTCCGACGTTGCTTTTATATCCGGGAAATATTGCACTGATTCTGTCATCGAAATCATATAATAACGTTCGTCTTTCTGAAAAAAATGAGAACCGTTTCTTATACACATATATATATAGAAATATATTGACTACCTTTCCTTTTTCTCTTTTTAATATAAATTTATAACGATCATGTGATATATGTATATACCGCTTCGCAAGAATATCTGTTCGAGGCTGAGTATTGGCGATTCGAACACTATTGACTATAAAATAGCTTCGTCAAAAGTGAGCATTATATGCGACAATATTATTCTTAACTAAAAAAAAAGATAATATTTTTTATCTATTTTTATTACTTAGATTTTATCGCGTATCAGATATATGAGAGAAAGAGAGATGATTGTAATACCTATTAAATTAAAGTTATGTAGATGTTGAGACGATCGTATATTCGTTAATGCTGTGCAAGACGAGATCATTTACTAAAAACACTCTATATTTTAAGACATTTTTTACGCGTTCTGAAATCAAGAAGAGAGAGAATTGATCATAGACGAGATTATGCATTTAAAAAGGAGACGTTATCCATATATGTGGCTTGATAAGAGCCGATATCAAGTTTTGAACAGTGAAAAAAAAAGTATTTCTCTATAAAATTTATTGGCTTTGTGTCAAGGAACATGTAATTTTCAATACGTCGAGAGATTGAAGCTTGCATAACTCACATGTAAATAATATCCAGTAGTGACAGTCTCGGACTCGTTTCTGTAACACAACATCTCTGACATCTCGACCGTCAGTTTCAGAGAAGAACCGCTGAAGGCCGCAATTCGTCGTACGACGTCTTGAATATTCTCGGCTGTGCATCCGGCAAATACGCAGATGCCCCAGTATAATTTCCTGATCAATTCCCGATACCTCTCCTTAATGTCTCTAAAAGCTTGCCAGACAGATCCGTTCTTAGTTCTTACGAAGATAAATCTCAGCGTCGGTTTTGCCTAATTGTAAGCAATACTATCCACGGATATATCCTGAAGTACCATGGTTTAGGTACATGCATTCGTCCAATTGATAGACGGAATCCGCCAGCAGGCCCGCTTCCGAAAATTTCCCGGAAACATCGGAACCCAAAACTTGAGCGCTCATCTGGTCAAGTTTCGTAGGCCGTTCAGAACGGATTGGCACTGATTTTTGCAAGTGTCATCGTCTATCGTGTCGATCGCTTGTTAGAGTAACGTGAGCTTTCACGAGAATAAAGCGGCGCTTTCGATACCATCGTACTTCAATCCTCGTTGAAGGTTTTTGGGTTATATGGTCGATCGAAGCGTTTCAAGGGTGTTTTCAGTGTTCGCGATCGAGTCGTACATACACATTAATGTGTATGTAACTATCAGGAAGAGAACATTATGCATTCCATCGATTTTAACAAATGCACGTGGCGCGCTTCAAAGACAACACAGACAGAGTCACTACTTATGTCGACAAGAGTCGCTTCTTATATCATTAATAATTTATTAATATAAAATCTATGCATTCCAACAAATGCACGTGGCGCGCTTCAAAGACAACACAGACAGAGTCACTACTTATGTCGACAAGAGTCGCTTCTTATATCATTTATATCATT